TCGGGCGCGCTGCCCCCGAACCCCCGTGGGCCCCCACCCCACCCCTTCAACTCTAGGATCCCCTACTTCGACGGGCTGGCTCAGCCCCTGATCGGAGGGTTGGGCCAATATGGTTGAACACCACCATCGTGGTTCCAATCAACGTCCCCAATGCCAACCCCAACACCAAAGCCGGTTAGATGAAGCTATACAGCAGCTCACATTGAACAATTCTCAGCATGGCTCCCAAATCCTGGCTCCTCGTTCTGTGATCGAGGCCCTGCCCACCGTCAGGATAGGAGAGAGAGATGCCAAGTCTGGTTTAAACTGCGCAGTTTGTTTAGAAGACTTTAAGGAGCATACACGAGCAAGGAAGATGCCCTGTAATCATATGTTCCATTCTGATTGCATTGTTCCTTGGTTGCTTCAACATAATTCTTGTCCTGTTTGTCGGCTCCGGCTACCTACGGAAAGTCCTGGAAGTGTTATTAAGAGAGCTTTCTTCCCATTCTTCTGGCCCTTTGGTGGTTCATCACAACACAATCATGAAACAGGAGGAAGTAGCTTGACTTGATGGCGACGGCTAAAAGTTCTCTCTGTCTCTCATTTTTCTTTGGAAATAAATTCCAGTACTGTCCATTTCTGCCTATGGAACTTACTGTTCTGTAAAGTTTCAAGATCACTGCATATATTCTTCACTGTATATTTTTGAGTCTTCCCTCACTTAGAAAACATGAAAATGTATATCTGTTCAGTTTTGCGATGGCACAAGAGAGTTTGAGAGGAGAGGAGGGTGTGTGGGGCCGGAACTTTACGACTATGGATATCCAACGTTTTCAATTATTTCAGAAATAAACGAGCCTTGCACCTCCAATCACAAGTGAGAGGGTGATTCTTCCTCCAGAAACCAGTAGGGGAATATTTAGAAACTGAGATGATTCTGAATACCTTTCTTTCCAGGACATTGCAGCTGGAAGAACTCCAAACAGCACCAATACTACAAAACACCAACATAGACAAATTTTTTCCCATTTCAACCAGTCTAAAAATTTCAATATGATAAAATAGGAAGCATATTGAGTGTAGAATTAGCTTAACGGAGTGTCATCTCAACAGACGATGAATGCTTAGAGCATATTTGGCTCAGCTTAAAAGATAGAAGTAAGGTTACTTTTAAGTAAATTTTTATCTCCAATCATGTTTGGATAACTTGGGTCTTTTAGTTCTGCTTCTACTTCTATTTTTTTTTAGAACAGTTTCGTGTCAACTTTCTTTAAAGGCTCTTCTAATCAGATAAAACACATTAAAAAAATTATCCAAAAAGACCTAAAAGCAACAGCTTTAGGCTTTTCAAAAGTCCTGCCGGATGAGCCTTTAATTTTTTGGAAGTAACTCATAACCTGGTGTTGAACTTTTCTATCTCCAAGTTTCACCAACTAAAAAATATTTATTTTAAGCTTAGCCAGACATGCTCCACGTAACTGATAGAGTATATCATGGTTCCACAGGTGAAAACATATACACGCCAACACAAGATTTAGGGAGTTTCCGTTCAAGTAAGCAATTACAACAATTATACATCCATAAGTTCCAGCAAAATCCAGGGCTTTGAAGAATATTTCTGGATCCAACAATGTTAGTTCCAATGATGGATTTAAAGTAAGAAGTAATTAACTAGATAAAAACAATGTGAGATTACGTCCCCTTTCGCCGTCACAGTAATTCACCAGATAAAATCAAGTTTACAAGCAAAAAATGTACACCCTACTTTCTCTAACTTTTCGTTCTTTTTTACGATAATACAAAATTCTAATTGTTTTCACTAATGCTAACTAGTCATTTGACTCCGCATGACAGCAAAAATTAAACTCCACAACGTAACAATTATTGTGTTACATATTGAAATAAAATGTTTAAAATTATTAGACAAATATGCTCAAGAAACCACAATTAGACATCCATTGAAAAATATAAACACTAACCCAACAACTCCATTAGTAATTTAGTAGATCGCAATAGTTGCAGTGGGTCTAAGGTCGTACCCGATCCCATACCAGGAGCTGTGGTGGTTCGAAGAACGATAGCATTCCAAACAAGAAATAGAGCAAGTAGAATAGCTGCGCCAATAACAATTGCCGTCCTGTAGATCAAACGAGTTAAAGATATTGCAGACATTTGTTTGAATGGGCACTAAATGGAAGAGGTTGAAATTTGTAAGTGGCGAACAGAATTCTCTGATTCATAACATTGTCATAGGTGCATGTTCGACAAGCAACCGTAGAGGAAATACAATAGACAAGAATTAACTTCTTTTTCTTATTTAATACTTTCGATGATCCAACAAATGGGTGCTACTCATCATTGTGGTATATTGTACCAATCTCCCTTTGCGATCATAAAGATATATGCATGTCAAGTTTTTTACACGTAACACGATAACAAAAATGGTTTAGCGTGTATTCTTTCTCGAGTACGTATTATCTAAATATAAGATCACTTTGAACATTCATTTTCGCATACGAAAGAAACCCAATGATAATCAAGAACTATCGCCTTACTTCTGATAAGTTCCCTTCTAGATCTGTGCAAAGAACTGGCACTACATTCTGCAGCAAGAGTGAAGCTTTGACCAGCAATGGCATTGGCAGACCCAATTCTAATACAAGAAAAAAAAAAGCCTTTTTATGATGAATACTATACTCAAGAATTTTATGCAAGATGTCAAGAAAAGAATTATCACCAAAATACATGTAGAATGAGAAATAGACGATGAAATTAATCTCCCAGAGCAGGAAAGATCTCCAAGAAGCAGTGAAAACAAAGTTGCAGTTTCCCATCTGCAATTATAGTGCAGCAGCCCATCAACACTTAGCAGACATACGAAGAAATTATTCATGATATTATCCAAAAATTTAAAAATATTACAACCAAGTAACCAACCCACTACAAAAATACTAGTTCTTAATACCTAATATTTGTTAGGATTTTCTTGTTTAAACAGAGCATTAGGATGAAAATTTGGTTATTTTTAAATAAAATTTTATAAATTTGAAGACTTTCAATTCTTTTGATCCACATTGGTATTATGCGATATCAATGCTTTGATCAAATTCAAGTATTCAAATATCAACGAATATTTGATTCTTAAAATTTTCATGTGTTGACCTAATAAATTGGATATAAAAATCATCAAGTTCCTCCCAGAATTTTAGCAGACTTTTGCCTCTTTAGAAGAGATTTTTGGGTCGTTTAGGAGCTGAAGTGTTTGCAGAAAGGAGGGTGGAGTTTCCGGCGTAAATTTTGTAGGAAGTGCCTTTCAATCGGAGATTGTTGGAAGTTCCAACAGGACCGACCGTTCATTTGCGTTGATCCGATGCAGCTTTTCAGAGTGGAAGTATGGATTATAAATTTTCCAGCTTTCTGGTACGTTGGGGTTCAAAGTAAAATTGCAATTATCAAACCGTGTTTCTGCTTGGAACGGCCACCAGCGGGAAACCTATAATGATGGCCCACAGCTACAAACATTCCAGCAGAAATCAATTTTTTTCGTTGAATAATGGAAATTTGAAACTGTGAAACGAAAAAGAGAGGATCAATTAATAAACCAAGGAAAATCAGATGCTTGCTCCATTAAGATGGATAGTTCATAGCACGAAACATGGACAAAGCATCATAAGAACCAGCACAAACAACAATTCAGCAAATTTCTGGTCTTTTCCCCCATCTTCTTTATTCTATCACTCCTCTCCATTCATCTTAGAGAGAAGGGGAGAAAACAAACTGTCTGGGTAAACTGAACAGGTCTTTCTCTTCGAAGGGAGAAGTCCAATCCCGAGATACACTGGCAGTTGTTTCGGATGTGGTGATCCCGTTCTGCAACCCTGGAATTGAAGCGCCATTCCCATTGGATAGAACAGGTCTCTTGGTAGAGATTCCTAGACCATAGGCAAATGAACCATATGAGCGAGTGTTGTTTTGCATAGAAGAGTTTGTGCCAGACCACAGCTCACCGGGCCTCAACCTAGACCCACGATCCAAACTCCAGTCTATGTTAGTGTAATCTAACTGTGACATTGAGTTGCCTGTGTTCCAGTCTACTGGAGATGACGATCCAGAAGCACCGTTGGTGCCCAGACCAGAGAAGAGTCCAAGGGAAGAAGCGGCAAAAAGCTTTAGTGATGTACCTGCATTATTCCACAAACTGTTACCCCGGATGGCTCCTCGGGAATCCATTGCACTACTGCTGGACACAAATTGTTCTTGAGGTTGGTAATGCAGTTGGTTATACAGAGGATTTGAACTAACACCTTCATGGCTCAGACCCCTTGTCACAGTAACAGGCGGGACCAACCCATTGGGGTTCATAGTTCCAGCACTAGTAGGATACCAACCCACAGCTGTCCCAGGCGGAGATGAGCTAACACTTGGAGTATGTACGTGCTTTGCATTCATGGATTGAGGTCGCTGCATCACTATGATAGGTTCTCTAACTGATCCAAGTTGCAGCTTCTTTACTTCATTCCCAGCAGCATAATGTGCTTCTGCCTTTGTCGATGGAGGTGAAGCCTGCAAAGGTGATGCTAATGAGTAGGGCATAGAGGTATTTGATCCTGAACTCGGCCACCTTTTCTCTGCTGGCACGGCAATCTGCTGTGGTTTGGTCCACTCCATTTTTGGTTGCATTTTCTTCAATGACTGCACATTTTTTGTTCCAGATTCTACTGAAGATCCTACTGTCTCAGGAACTTTGATATAATTGAAATCTTTTTCATCCCTTTTCTGTTGTATGGTATTGGATGAAGCCGGTTTTTCTTGTGCTCTCATTGCATTCTGATTATTAGCTATTGATAGATAGCCATTGCCAACAGTAGGAGGATCACTAGTTTCTTCCATCTTCGAAGAAGCAGTGGGGAGCTCCTGTTTCTGCGACTGCAAAGTTTCTTCTGCCTTTTCGAGATCACCCTCACAGGCAACCACAACTCTTTCAACATCCTGCTTGGAGGCTTTATACCGTATTTCCATATCTGTAATGCAGGCGAGCTCTTCAGAAATATCAATTTTCAAATTACCCCCTCCATCAAGATTTTTTTCCCGGTGCTTGTCTTCTTCACCTACTTCAAATAGCCAAGCTACCGACTCCTCTACTCTACCCTCATTCAGAATAAGAGCCATGGTTGCCCGTTCTAGAGAGAAACCCATACCAACAAGCTGTTGTGCAAGCTTTTCTAGCTTCCTTGACATGAGATAGCCACTGCACCGCTCATGCAATTCTTGAGCTCGCCTCTCCTTTTGCCTTTGATGTTTCCTTTCATTTTTCTGGCGTATTTTGTCTCTCTTGTCATTGTCAGCTCCAGGTACTGATTCCTGATGCTGAGGGGGGTGCGACATTTTCTCTTTTAGGTCTTCTGACTCACCAGACCAGCTACCAGTATTGGAAACAGAATCATATTCCACGCCAGCTCCAAATGCATTCCCACTATGATCGTCCGTATCATCTATGTTTTGGAATCGACCATTCAAATGAAGCATACCTGTATAAGACACTGGAGCTGTCTCAAATGTCTGGAATGTTCCTAAAACAGGATTGTATCCACTCGCCGGAACCCCACCAGGGGCATTAACATGACCTGAAGGCTTTGTAAAACCCTTGGGGGGTTCCTTCCCAGCCTTTTTGTCTTTGGACTTGGATCTGGATGCTGGAGACATATCTTCAACTTAAGCTCTACTTCCTGCAGCCAAAAATGATAAACCTAGCTAAAAATCAAGATATGCAAACTTGAAAGATCAAAGCACGGATGTTTGAAGGTCTAGACTGGAATTTAAGCAAAAGAATCGGTTCGCTGTATTAGCAAGTACATAGGAAATATTAGATGGCATTTCTTAGATTCCAAAAATACATGGAACTGCATGCCGAGTAAAACAAAAAACATCTTTTTGTTGTAACAGGCAACATACATAAAGGAAGTAAGAATAGATCAGACCAAGTGTAAGGACTATACACATAATGAGTTGGTAGTTGCTTGTGTGTTTCTATGAGCAGAGCTATCACAAAGGGTAGAAAAGTGATGAAAATAGAAATAATTAATTTTTCCATACTCTCTGTTTTGACCCTTTCAACAAACAGAAGATATGGAGACAATTCTCAAGGAAAAATAAGTCTTCCTTTAAAAATTGCTACACATAGGAATTAATTAAATAATTCTATCCTATTCCAATTTTGCATAGTTGAACCTCATATCATATTCAAAAGTTGATGCTAAAACTTCACAAATGCATCTTTTAGGAGACCAGACATTTGAACCATAAAAATCAAATCAACTCTCAAAACATTATTGAATCTAGAGCTCTTACCTGTCCAGAGATAAAAAGAAAGCTAAAACTTGAAAAAAGTAAATGAAAGCCAGCACTTAAGATAAATGTAGAGAAAACCCATTTTCCTCTTGAGAGTTTGTTCTTAAGCTGTTTAGCCAAAGCAATAATGATAGAAATTTTAATTTGCCTTGTCTAAGCTATTCAATAAATGCAAGACAGAATGTCCATTAGTTCCCATTGTAAGGCTTATTGTGCTTCATGAAACCTCCTTAGGCTGCTGGAAATAACCCGCGTGACCATCCATACGAGAAGACCAGTGCTATATATTTTCCTCTAAGCAGCTTTATTCACTTTGAATGACACATAATATCCATTAGGCAAATAAGCCGGAAAGGCACGCACACCTCTAAAGCGTCTACCATATTTTATCTTCTTAATCATCCAACACACTTAGAAATCATCCTTTTGGATTCCCTTATTGAGCTTCAATTTTAGGAATCCCACCAGATTTCGAAAGCCACCAATTTTAAGTCTTTTTCTTTCTACAACCACTTACCAATATTTTTCCATCTCACTTATATACCTACGTCCATCAATTATATGCAAATGCACCCACGCCCTTAAAAAAAGCAACAAGAAGGCCTCTTTGGGATCAAGAATCATTCAAACATAGAAAAATCAACAGAACAGAAAAAATAAACCCCCAATTCAAAGCCCCACAATGAACCCACAATTAAAATCAGGCAAAACAAACAAATTAAAGTAAAAAAATAAACAAAATTCTAAGCATGCGCCCCTCTCCCGATCGATCAAATATTAGAAAGAACAAGGGTGGGGCCTAACCTGGAACAGACCGATCGAGAGAAAAAATGTTCGCTGTCGGTTCAATTATAAAAAAGAAATGGAGGTTTGGATTAAATTATTTGCTAAATACAGCGCGCGAAAGAGAAAGGTAGATTTGGTAGAGACAGAGAGATAACTCATTCGAGGCTGAAAAATGAAACTGAATCCAGATTAGGGTTTTTTCTCTTTCCTATTTCCTTTTTCGATTTTCGATTTTTCGTTCGTTTAAATTTTAGAAATGAATTTGTGTAATAAGAAAGTATAGATTAGAAACAACGAATGGCCAAGGCATTACGGCTGAGATTTGATCTGCTGTAGTTTTAATTCTTCTATTGTGTGCATTCGGTTGTACATTTTGAAATTACAATGTTCTTTTTTTTTGGGTACAAGTTAGTGCAGCAAGTATTTCTGTGGCTAGAGAAAAGCCCCGTTGCAGAAGATTTTACCATTAAGGCGCGGATGTTAAAGAATAACGGAACGTTACATCAAAAATGAAAAATAAAACGGAATGGACACTTGGCAGAAGGAAAAAAATGAAAAGTAATAATTAACAAAAAATTGGCATGCACCGACCTTATTATGCCCCCGTTTGGCCCCCGTTTTTCTCCATTAAATTATAATTCATTTTTCTCTCTCTTCTTATCAACCACACATCCTCCAATAAAATAATATAACACGTAAATCAAAAAAAATTTCCTTCTTTTTTAACCACACACTATCCAAAAAATTACTATTCATCTCATTATAACGTGGAATAATTGGGGCCAAACAGACGCAATATTTGTATCTCCCTTTCATTCTATTTGATATTGGAGTCCTTAACTTTAAATCTTCGTATATTTTAACCCTAATAATTTGTTAATTGGTCATGTGCCTCGGATTTGAGTTAAAATGTATGATTGGCTTGTCTATATTATCGAAAACTTTCTTCCATTTTTAGATTAATCCAATAAGAGATCTCTCCAATTAACAGTTTCCCTTTCGAATGTATAACATATTAATTGGCATGTCAAATGATGAAGTTCAAACTAAAACAAAATCTTAGACAAAACAAGAATGTGCACTTATGCCCGTTGGAACTTACGTAGAGATATAATGATTTTGAACATTTAAGTAGGACTAATTTTGATCAAGAAAGATTATTAGTTAATTCGGATAATTAGGTTGTTAACACTCGTAGGTAGCGCTTTTGTGTGTTAAATGAAATTAAGCATAAATTGACCTAAGTTAAATCATAATTCCTAACAAGTTAATCTCATAAAAATCTTTCGTGAAGTTTTTGCGTCCTGATTTCTCAGTTAAATTCTAATTGAAAATTTAGTTTCATTTCAACATATTAAAACATAATCGACATATCATTAAATTAAATTAATTGATAGTTCGTTCAAATAAAAGCTAGGGTTAAATTAATTGATAGTTCATAGCATTAAGTTATGAGGTAACAATACTTGAACTCGTATCCTTATTACCACTTGTCCTGATATCGCACACTGGCTATTTATTCGAACAGCAATGCCGCTTTATTTATTTTACAAAGTAACTGCTGCTATAGGAGTCCAGTGACAAAGCTTATTTAGGCATCGCCAACAAGCTTGAATTCCTCCAATTCCTTGGAGTTGTCTGGCTTGAGCCACACCCTAGCTTCATACACTTTATTCTTCTTCTCCCTGCGGTCAACCACCTCCAGGGTTAGATAGTACATGAACCCCGACACCACTTGCTGTTTCGCATCCAGTACCTTCTTAAATTCCAGGACTAGTGCATTCTGCAATCATAAGGGAAGAAAAATGAATGAGATTTCAGACTTAATTCCAAAATTTCAGAGAGTCATGAAAATCGCAGGTAATTGTAATTAATAAGATGCAAACCATAATTGTAGTTGAATATTAACAAAATCAACACAAAAAATGGGGGGGAAAAACCTGTTTTTTGTTGTATTCATCAATGGCAAAACGAGCGAGACCTTCAATTGCAAGGCTGTTCTCAAATCCTGGGACCGTGGTTATTCCTCCAGAGGTGGGCGTGGTGGCCATTCTCACAAATAACTGAATTTTCTTGCTAAGAAAACTCTCTCTTTCTTTTTTTGTGTGAATAGTTGAAGGCAGTTCAAGTGAGTTATATAGAGACTGGGGAAATAGTGAAACTTGCAATTAACCAATCAGCAAACCCGTATAATCAAATGAAATACACATGTAACAATTTCAAAATGGGGACCATATTATGGGATAAGATTTTTTACAAGTGGTTGGCTTTTAATATCTGTCTTGAATTCTCAATTTTTAATATTTCTTTTGGATTTTTCATTGAAAAATATGTTTTTTTTAAAATTAAAAAATATAATCAAAGTTTACCACCATGACCGCCTACAACATATGTATCGTTACATTATCGCCACGATCACTTGTAACATATCTTGTTATTTTACTACAAGTCATCACCATCACTTGTAACATTCATTACTGCATCATCGTCATTATTGCCTCTGCCTTCACCGTTGCCACAACTTGTAACATTATTATTACATCACATCAATCACAAATTATCAAGTTAATTGATCACCTTGTCAAAGAGTGCTCCCTTCAAATCTCCTAGTTTCAGTTTACAAGCAAAATTTATTGCTGGAAGACAGAAGCGTTAAACTTCAAAATATTAAATTATATAAAAATTCATATGTTCATAATCAATTCTTGCGGAATTAAAAAGTTCCACTAAAAAAGAGTATGCAATCATTGATCCCTTCTAGACAAGGTGAAATGCCAAGATGCAATTAACATGATTCATTTGAAATGAAGTGTATTGATAAGTGTAATTTCTTCACTTATTCGAGATCCTAAATGATGATATTTTATTTAATTCTTGGGGAATTAAAAAGTTCCACTAAAAAAGAGTATGCAATCATTGATCCCTTCTAGACAAGGTGAAATGCCAAGATGCAATTAACATGATTCATTTGAAATGAAGTGTATTGATAAGTGTAGTTTCTACACTTATTCAAGGTCCCAAATGATGATACTTTATTGTTCTTTCGATAAAATTCTACATAATTTATGTTATATTGCATCCTTGTATGTAAAACTTTATTTTTTATCAAGAATTGGAGAGAGGAAGTGAAAATTGGAAGGGGCAAGATCCAAAGTTTAGGGACTAAAGTTTAAATACTCAGAAGTTGTACCGAAACTCACGATGAAGATTCGAGAATGCTAGGGGTCAAATGGATGCAATTAGAAGTCAAAATGAGTGAAATATGACTAAAATATTCTCACAAATCAAGTTTCAACCGCACAAGAATGTTCTAGATTTTTAGCTAGAGATTGAAACCCATTTTTGGTCTAGTAAATAGTCGAATTGGAAAATATCTGCTTCTAGCAAAGTTGTATCCCTTTAAGTTACATTTCCAAGGCATTTTGAATTTCCTTAATCGAATATCAGGAGAAAAAGTTATGATAAAAATATTGAAATAGACGCAAAATTTGAAACAATGACTCAGCGCCTAGGCGCTAGAATCCTAGTGCCCAGGCTCTACAGGCCTGCTTATTTTTCAGCAATGCAGT